CTGAGAGGAAAATCCATCCTTCCAGGAGCACCAGGGTGGATGACTGGGGAAGGAGAATTCACTCCCTCCCACCAGTGCCTGGAGTATGTGGGGAGGGAGAGCCTGTCAGCAAATGGGGAAGGCACTGATGCTCAGCCCAAAGAGCCTCTGACCCCCAAACCTCCTCAGTCTTCTCTCACCCTGCAGGTGAGTGGCTCATTATTTATGAGGAGCTGGGGGTGGGGGGTTATTGGGAATTTCCGTTTCACTCACAGGGGAATTTATTGGGCTCTGCTGCCTTTTATGAAGCCACATCTTCACTGTGGATCATCAGCACCTTGAAGTGCTTATGCCTGAGGTACCTGTTTGTATCGAAAATGCCACGACAGCTGAGGAAACCAATTCAGACAGTGTTTCTTCTGCTTTGCTTTCGTGTGTCACCTTTTTTTTCTTCAGAGGTGCAGCTTTCTGCTACTGTAAACAACCTCAAAAGCTGAGACACATGAAACAAATGGTGGGGTTTTTTTTCTCCAGTATTTTCAAATGATTACTGGAATTTTTTAAGGAACGCCAAATACCACCGTGGTAATTAAAAAATGTAACTTCAGAGTGTTAAGAGGTGGATTGAAACCTTTGCATGCAGTTAGTTCACATGAGGAACAGCTCTGGAAAACAACAGCGAAAAATCCCTAGCTTGCTTCACTCTCCAAAGCCAGGCACTGAAGTAGAAGCAAACAGCAACCGTGGTAAAGGAGAGAAAACCATATACCAAACCCTTTTTCTCAACCCAAGAGCATCCTTAAAAACAAAAAAACAAACCCAGCATCATTTAACCAGCTGCCTTAAACAGCAGCACTTTAAAAGGATATAAGAAACAAACTCATTAAGCTGGAAGACATTTTCCATTCCAAAATTACTACTCAAAATAACTGCACACTTGAACTCTGCCCCTCCACTAGGCTGTGGCCACTTGCTTGCTTTTACATTCATTTGGGCAGTGGGTCGGAAACCTGAATTCCTGCTCTTTCTCCCCAGACCCCTTTTGCTCCCAAGAGATGGTCCAAGAGCCGGGATGGCTCCAGCTCCAGGGGGTGCAGAGCGAATGCACAGCCACGGCAGGGGATTGGGCACAGCTCAGTGAGAGACTGTTGTTAGTGCAGCAGCTGAGCTCCAAGTTAGAACAGGGGGAATCTTCAGTCTCTCTGGACTAAGTGGTGTATCTGAGCAGCTCCCTGGAGACAGGGGAAGGTCTCCAGGCTGTGGACTAGAGATGCTGCAAGTCCAACCCCTCCCAGGTTAAACCCCTCAGCTCAACAGCAGAGCCAGAGAGAGGGGGAACACCAACCCACCACCACGGGAGAAGAGGAAGAATTAACTCAGGCCATGAAGTTTAATGAAGCCTTGAAGCCAGAGATCAGGCGTGCAGATGGACAGATGTCCTGGATGCTCAGAGCATGGCTGGTGGAGTCAAGCTGTGGCCACGCCGTACCGGGGCCACGCTGTTACGGTACCTGCACCCGCAGGATTTAGGAATGATCCCAAGGGTCAGCTACGCAGCGGAGACGCATCAGCACCCATTTTACCCAGTTGGCACCAAACCTGCCACTGGCGCTCCCAGCCCTCAGCATGGCACGTGGGGTTCCCGCTCGCAGAGCCCCCGGCCCAGCAGGTCCTGCGGAGCCAGCCTGGCTCGCCCGGGGAGCCGCTCGCGTCCGGGGGCAGCGCCGGGGGGGAAGCAGCAGGGCTGGGCTGGCCCGGTTCCCAACGCTCTGCTCCCTGCGAGCCGTCCAAGGGCGGCCGGCGGGAGCATGAGAAAGGGCTCCTCGCTGGTATTTCCTGCGAGCCGGCGGCGCTGCCAGCAACGGAGGGGCCGGGACCTCCTCACACGAGACAGCGACGAGCTGCAACGGCGTTTGTGGCCCCCGATGACCCCCTTCACCTCCGATGTTAACTGCTGCACACTAGACCCCTTCATCCCAAGACCCCTCGGTGTTTACTCCCTCCCCTGCCTCCCTAACTCCAAGGCGGTCTCTCCACTTTTTTCCCCTCTGAAATCCAAGGCTGCTGATCCACGGACACCTTGGACCCTAATGAGTAACAGATCAAGCAGGGAGAGTTCTGCTTCTGGATACAAACAGCCACCCCCACAATAATAGTAATAATAATCCCTGCATTAGTCAAGATCCCTGATGGTAATCTTAATTTTGTTGACTATCCGGTATTTAGTGGGAGACAGAGTATAAAAACCAAAGCCTCACACAGCTGGCAGTAATTCATAGGGGAAAAATGTTCCCAGTTGCTTATTTATTATAGCTGCAATATCTCAGAGCCGTGAGGCTCATTCACCACAAGCTACCCTGTATGTTTTTGACAGGGAACAGCAAGAAGAGATGCACACAACAGGAAGAATCTTCTACTTCTGGAGACTTTCACCCCTTTAAGCCAAGGTTTGTAGCCCTGAAGCCATCCTTGTCCTCCCAGCAGTACCCCACAGCCCCTACCTGCCTCTCACCTCCCTGGTGATGCTTCTTCTACCCTGGCCAAGCACAAGGCTCATCCCTCCAGGTCTGCTCTTGGCATGTTCATCTAGAGACCCCCCAGATGTCAGGTTCAAACCCTTCCAGACTTTCATCAGCTGCCCAAGAGGTCCTGATTTTACTTCTTGATTTTTTTTTTTTTACTTGATTTTACTTCTCTAATCCAACTTCTCAGCTGACTAAAAGCTCCTCTTTGGGTACAACTGTGACTCTCATCCCTCTTCTTCCCAGCATCACCACCACAGCTCTGCCTCCCACCACAGCTACAGTACTCACTTTAGGGGGTTTTTACTGTACTTCCACAACATTCAAGTACCTTCAGGCTACAAGAGAGATACTTCCCAGCAGGAATCTGCTATGCCTTTATGCAGCTATAAATTAGGTCTCCAGAGCAAGATATTTTATAGGGAAATGAGGCCCATTACCCTGGCTCTGTTACTTAAAAGATACAACAGTTTATGCTAGAGGATAGAAAGCCAGTTATGTTGTATTTAGGCAAAATGAATTAGCAATGCAGGATTCAGCCCAAAACTCTTCCCCAGAATGGAGGTGGGATGCAACAAGACTGGTGTAAGGACAAGGACAACGTTCCTGGCTGGCAAAGTGGCTGGGCAGCAGCAGTGACCTGGGATGGCTGCAATGGGAAGAGATTTTTTTTTTTTTTTTGACAAATCATGTGGATATCACACCTGAAACTCAAGAGTTTCACTCAAAAACTCAAAACTCAAAGAGTTTCGCTCAAAACCAAAGCTCAGCGAGATCCAATTTCTGACTTTCAGCTCCAGGCCAACACTTGGATATCTAGGTTTATAACAAGACAGAGCTTTATTTGGGGACCAGGGGAGTTATTCCAGCTTTCCCTACATGTGGATTATGCCCCAAACATCTACTGTCTGCCAAATCACCAGCTTCCTGCCCTTCTCCAACGCTGTCCTCACCAGATCAGCCAGCACCGCCTGAGTGCACTCCAGGAGTTACCAAGATCCCATCTGTCACCCTTTTAAATAACTGTCTGATCGTTATGAATTCATTTGCTATTCATTGTGATAATGTTAATCAAGATGAATTAATCGAGTCCTCCTACTGTACGCGCTCCCTGGGGAATTCCACCACCATTTAGAAATTAATTAATGGACCTGTAATTTGAGCGGTGCTGCCCATGCAATCACCGCTAACGGCAGGCACGGAGCGGGTACCTGCTCACAGGATGTCACTGCAGCCTGCAGTTACAGCATTCCTGCTGGTTTTCCCGACCCTGCAGACTTTGGCTGATGTTCCAGGGGCTGAAGGAAGACTCTGGAGGCAATGTCAGGGGAATGGGATGCGCCACGTCTCTCCCCTGAGAAGCAAGCGCTGCTGCTGAACACACAGGAGACTTCTTGGCTTCTTTTTAGTCCCCTGAGTCTCCCAGGGCTCAGGTTTTAGATCAGACTTTCCTTGTCCTGCTGCACGTCTCCCATTGGATCCAGTCCTCCCCACACCTCTGCCCCTCTGCACAGCATCCAGGGCAATGCCAGCCCTCTCCACGCCTGCACTGTCCCACTCATCCTCACATGCACTCCCCAAATGCCTCAATCTCTCAGTTCAAGATCAGAGGTCCAGTGGAGCAGGAAGATTCATTCTGAGCACCGAAGGGTTAAGCTCAGCAGGACCAACGAGGTCTCCTGGGTGCTCTGGCAATCCCCCCACACCTCCAGCACAGACAGCTTTGACATCTGATGACTCTGCACGTCGTGGGGCCTTAGGTAACCCCATAAATCGAGCCTGGCAGGGTCTGCCCAACACTCAGTGCAGCTCCAGCACTGCCCCATTTAATCAGTGCTCCAGACAGGACTAAGTGCTCTTCAAAGGCACCCAGGCTGGAGCTCTGCTGGCCACAGGGATGGTTTTATCAGCCTGTCAGGGAGGCAAGTGTGGCTCTGAAGATGTAAGGGGAGAAGGCAGCACAGAACTGGGGTCATTTTCACGTCACGTCTGGTAAAAGCCTGTTCTGCCAGCAGATTAGAACAGAGTCAGCATTTAAAAAGAGCACTTAAAAGGGGCACTGCCATGGGGGTTTAGATCCTAAATTTAAGTTCCAGTGAAGGGAGAGCTACTTTTCATGAGACTGAATTTCTTTCTTCTTCCCCATGAGAAAAAAGTCAGATACTGGACTGGGTGGTGAAACCCCGGCACAGGCTGCCCAGAGAAGCTGTGGCTGCCCCATCCCTGGGAGGGTTGAAGACCAGGTTGGATGGGGCTTGGAGCACCATCATCACTCCAGCTATCACCAGGCACCGCTGTGGGACTCAGCACTGCTCTGGAGCCCACCGGAGGCCCTGGCTGGGGCCATATAAATGAGACACAGGCACTCCTGTCACCCCGGCAAGGTGATGCTGACCCTGCTGCCCGTCGTGACGCCCAAGGCAGGAGCCTGACGGAGCCTCCTGTGGAAGGAAACACTCCTGCAGCACCCACGGGTGCTTAGGCCAGGCCAGGCCTTACCTTCTCTCTTCATGCCCATGGCCAGACACTTCTGGTAGCGGCAGTACTGGCAGCGGTTGCGCTGGCGCTTGTCGATCAAACAGTCCTTGTTGTCGCGGCAGGTGTAGGTGAGGTCCTTCCGCACCGTGCGCTTGAAGAAGCCTTTGCAGCCCTCGCAGCTGTAAACCCCGTAATGTTTTCCTGTGGGGGATGAGACTCGGGTTAGAAATGTCTCCTCCTCACCCCCCTTCCCGGGGCCTGTCTCCCAGCAGGATCTGGGGGAAGCAAAGGTTTCCTGGAGCCGTGAGCAGGAGCTGAAGAGCAGCGGTTTCGCCCTGACTTGGCTTCCATAAAATCAGGATGCCCTCCGTGGGCTACAACCTGCCTCACATGCAGGAAAAGCCCTTGGCCCCCTCTGTGCCCCCTCTGAACTCCCCGTGCCAGGCACACGACTCAGCCCTGGGCTTTGGGCTGGCAGTGGAGGGTGGGTGCATGGTACAGCACAGGAGGGGTCCATAAGGACTCACAAACTAGGCAATTAAAGCTCTTGTGGAGCAGAGTGCTTTTAGAACATTGTGAGAATAAAGGAAATTAGCACATCTTTACCTCCCAGGAGTGGAGAGACTCTGTGTCAAGCTCGTCTTTTTATCTGGCACTGTGTGACAGTACCACTGTGGATCAAAGGATGGGGAGAAGGAAGGACACTCCCTGATGCCTTGTTTTCAGATGGGCTGAGGATATGTAACCCCACTGCTAAACAGAGGGCTGGGGTCTGCCAGCTCAGCTCAGAGCCTGCCCTGGACCAGGCTGGTCAACAAGGGACTTTTCATCTCTCCTCTGAGAGCACAGGAAGCTGCGCCACAGGGAGCTGGGCAGTCATGCCAACCCTCTCCCAGGGCACCCATATCCTGAGCCTGCTGCTGTGAGCCCCTCCCGGGGCAGGCACCAGCCTTACCTGAAGATCTGTCCCCACAGATGGCACATATGTGCTTGGTGAAGGAGGCCATCGTTCCTGAGGGATGTGCTGGCACTTTGAGGACTCCATTGAGCCCCAGGGGTGGTTTAATGTCTTCTGTGCTGGTGACGGAGTTCATGGGCGAGTTGAGCTGTCAAGGCAGAAGAAAAGGGCTCAGTGGGGACCAGGGACATGGGATGTGGGGCTGTGCCAGGTGGGACATGGGGCTGGACAGACAAGCTTCCAGTGGGGACCAGCACCACTTAAAACACCCACCACAAAGCTGAACCTCTGGGTTCATGATTTGGGCATATGAGTCCAGAGACCAAAGGAGCTCATCCACTGCCCTGGCATAAGAGCTGGGCACTCAGGAAAGATGATCTGCGGTGAGGGCTCGTGGGAGAGCAGCTGGCTGGGAGTGAGTGCTTGCATGGATGATGAAGGCCAGGACACTTGAGCACATCCTTTTAGCATTATCTCTCCAAAGGAACGCTTCATGGTAAATAAACAGATCCCAGATGCAATGGGGCCTGGCTTTCCAGAACTGGCTCGGGTGGGACACATCTCTGCAACTTCCACATGCCTCTCCTTCCCTCCCCAGTGAGCCTGAATCCCAACAAGCAGAGAATGTGGTGGAAGCTGAGTGCTGGCATGGCACTGATTCGGAGTGAAGGATTCCTGGGCTGATTCCCCATCACCCCATGGAGCAGGGCAGGGCTGTTATCCCCCTGTGTACAAAGAGAAACTGAGGTAGGGAGATGTAGGATTGACCCATCTATAAGGGAGACAAGCTCACAGAGACCCTGGGAGGGTCTGGGGGTGGATGGGAAAGCCAGACTCAGTCACCTCAGGGACAGAGTGCTCCTCTACCGGGACCACTGCACGGGGGACTGTCACAGAGCCACCATCACTGTCAAACTCCAAACCCAAGTTGGATACACAGGATTGTGCTTCAGTTTGTTGCATTTCTCTACCTAATAGAGATCCTCAGCAATTGCACTTGGCACAGATTAATTCAGGGAAGTCCCAGGACTTGTGATCTGTCAATTAGAGCAGAGCAGCCTCTCCTCCAGCTTTTAAGTCTCCAGGCTGGCGGGGAATACTTGGCAGGCAGACGACTAACCACCACAGAACAGAGCCAGGTAAACCCACCCTGGAGAAGCGTGATGGATCTGCCTCCCTCTCCCACCCTGGTGTGCCAGCTGATGAATCAAAGGCAGCCAGGACTGGGTGTCACCAAGGGATACACTCCTGGGCTTAAGCTGCTGTTCCATAGAGCAGAGAGGGGAGGGACAAGCAGGTCCCCAGGCAGAAGCCTCTCTCTTTGGGTCCCCAGGCACATGTTCTCACTGTGCTACTCTGGGAGCAGGGGCTGCCACTCAGGGTCACCACCTCCAGCAACTCCTCCCAGAGCACTTTGTGGGAAATGGAACCCTTTCCCAGGTGCAGCTGGTGGTTATGGCTCGTGTCACGCTGCATCACTGGCCAGGGACACGTGGGACCGAGGGCAGAGGCCACGGCTGCCTGATGAAGATAAACCTTTCATCACCACTTCCCCAAGCCCCAGAAGTCCGCAGAGTCCACCCAAGCAGCCCCCTGAGAGCATCAGCGGGATGGTGAGCAGAGCAAGACCAGCCCAGGAGGGGTGGGGGGGTCTCACCACCCTCTGTAGCCCAGTGCATCAAGTGGTGGGCGCTGAGTCAGCCCCAGGCTAGGGTGAGGGAAGTCATTGGTTCCTCTCCCAGCGCTGGCCCGAAACCTCAGCAGAGGCCCCACGTGCACCCCAGGGTTCCCACACCGCCCCGGCGCCTGCCCCGTGCCTTCCCCTCCTGGTTGGCGGCAGCACGTGCAGGCAGGGAGGGGGCAGAGGGGGAGGCATCAGCCCCTCGCCTTGGCACAGCGCTTCTGCTCCGGGACAGGACGGCTCCAGCTCAGCAAGTGAGTGGGGACGCAGGAGGAATCAGTGCTTTCCTTCCCCAGCGATGCCAGAATCTCTTGGCACCTTCCCTCTTCAGCTCATTGCACCAGGGACTGAATCCTGTCCCTTCTGGCAAGCAGAGCTTTATTCCTCCTCCCATCCGAAAAAAAAAAAAAAAAAAAAAATCCCACCCTTTCCCCGGTCCCCCAGGCACCCTTACAAAGAGCATTGTGCAAAGGCAGACGGCGGCTCTGGAAAAGCCTAATCCCGTGTCTGATCTCTCCCCGCTCACCCCCGGGCGCCCCGAGCTGCTGCCAGCGATGCCTGGGGCGGCTGCGCCACACAGCCCTGCAAACTGCATGCAAAGTCCCTCCCCTACAGCTCTTACTGAAAATCCTGCACTTTTTTTTTTTTTTTTTCCGTGTTTTCACAGAATTTTTAGGTAAGAAGGTTTAAATAATACGTTAAATCCCGGTAAGCTGCAGAGCTGCCTCGTCTAGACCCCCCCAGTCTGGCTGGGACCCCGCTCACTACTGCGAACTATTTCTGCCCCACACATCTCACCCACAGCCCAGCCCCAACATCCCCTTCCCACAAGGGCCTGGTGGCTCCCTGGGTGCTGAGATCCCATGGTGGGACATCCTGCCCTCCTGCCCTGATTTTGGGGTTGCGTTTGGGAAACCATGCAGGATCCTGGGAAGCTCACAGTGCTGGAGGGAGGGCAGGGGGGAGCACTTGGAGCATCCTCCAGCACTGGCATCGAGCTGGGTCCTCAGCTCTGCAGAACCAGATGGGACAGGTGGAGCACCGAGCTTTTTGGGAGCCTGATGGCTCCTCCCCACCCTGGTGGAGCCGAGGTGGAGAGGCCCCACCCTGGGGACCCACCGCACCTCGCGCACCGCGTGCCCTTCTGCTCCGCTGGCTTTCCAGAGGCGACGAGGCATGGTCTGATGGCAAGTGGCATCTGCCATCTGATGCAAACCACCTTCCATCAGTGCCATCCCTGCCCGGCGACGGGGGCCACACGCCTCATTACCCCGGCGCTCTGCCAGCCGGTGCAGCGGCGCGGGGGCCGCGCTCCCCTCCGCACCCTCCTCCTTCCTGCTCTGCCGGCCCAGGTAGGCGCCTCTGCAGGCATGGGGACAGGGACCTAATGCGCCCAGACAGGGAACAGATGGCAGGAGCCATTAGGCTGAAGGCCTCCGAACTGTCACCTCGAGGAAAACCACTTAAGACAAGTCCCCAAACGGAGGACGGGCGTTCGCGCCGCGCCAGGGGCTGGAGCCGCGGCGCTCCCGGCACCATCCCACCGTGCTCTCGCTTCCCTTTCCCGCCCTGTAGCTGGGTTTCGTTTCAGTTCCCCCAGCCTGCCAGCCCCAAAAGCAAACTGCAACCTTACAATCGACGCTTGGGGGTGCGTCGCCCCTTCCCCATCGTCTCCCCGGCTTGTGGCTCACCCCGTGTTGCCTCACATCCCCCTTCCCGCTCCTTCCCCACCACTCTGGCGCTGCTGCTGCTGCTAATTTTGTTCTGGCTGCCCGTTCCCAGGCGCCGTTTCAGTTCCCCTTCCCTCGGCCACGGGATGGGAGGCGATGTGTCTGCCCCACTCACTCACAGTGGGGAGTGGGGTGCAGGTCTATGGGGGATCCTGCACGGGAGAATCCCATCCAAAGGCAAATTACTCTGTTGCCTCCCTGTCCAGCACTGGGATGCTGGATCCTGGGGAAGCTGCCTGCGGGTCCCTAGGGATGGGAACTCAGCACAGCCCCACGCAGAAAGACCTGTTATCTCTGGAAATAAATCAAGCCAATATTTAAAAATAAAGGTGCTGGCAGGTGCTTGACTCCCAGTGAGGGCCTGGAATAAATAAACCCACAGCGAGTGGCAGGTGGTGGCCAATTCCTTAATCTGCCCTTTTACTAAACATATACCGTGCGAGCAGCCAGCAACAGGTGGCAGGGGCTGGCCAGCGCCCCGATCTGGCTATTTTTAAAAAGAGCTTATCTCTCCCTAGTTGGAGCGTTTTTTACATAATCTTCTGCCAGCAAAGGCCAATCTTTCCCCTGCAAGGAGAAACGGGCAGCAGGCAGGGGACCCCTGGGTGTGCACAAGTGACAGGACAAGTTGAAACAGCCCCTCAATTTTCGCCAGGTTTAGATTGGCTAGTAGGGAAAATTTCTTCACTGAAAGGGTCGTCAGGCATTTGGAACGGGCTGCACGGGGTGATTCCAGGAATCACCATCCCTGGAAGTGTTCAAAAGGCTTGTGGATGTGGCCCTTGGA